GATGAGGAGGAAGGTTGATCACTTACCAAGGAGCTACACAGTGGTAAGTGATAAAGCTAAGCACCTCCTGCACTGCATCAGCGGGCTGGTTCGCCAGAGCCATCACCGAGAAGATGATGGTTGCAGAAAAGGCATTTCACCGACAAATTTTAGTTGGTACACACAAAAGCTGCAGGTTCCTTGACTTCACCAGGCCCGGTTGGAGCAGAAACGGTGCTGGAATATTACCGAGAAGGTGCAAGTTGCAGGAGGTATTAATTTTTGATGCCAGCTTCGTCGGTAAGAGGAAACCTCATCACCGACAAACTTCACGTTTCTGTAGGATGAAGTTACCGACGAAGTTTTCATCTGTACTCGAAATAACATAAATTAATGTAAATTTTACTGTTTTACACAGCAAAGACATGTTCTTTGTCGGTAAAATCGTTATTGACCGACAAAAACTCTCATGTCGGTAATATTTAGTCGGTGATACAAGGTTTTCTTGTAGTGATTCCCAAAAAGTATTTCATCTCTCCCAAATCTGTCATTTCAAATTCATTTTGCATGGAAGCCTTGAATTTTTGAAGGAGTTCAGTGTCTTCTCCAATCACTAAAACATCATCTATATAGAGAGAGACCAGCAATTGAGAATTAGGGTTTCCACCCTTAGCATAAAGAGTGAATTCAGTTTCACTTCTTCGAAATCCTTGTTCTATCAAGTAGGAATCAATCCTACTATACTAAGCTCGAGGGGCTTGTTTCAGGCCATAAAGAGCTTTATGTAGCTTGTAAACATGATCTTCACAGCCTTGAACCAAAAAACCTTTTGGTTGTTCAACATATAACTCCTCTTCTAGAATTCCATTTAAAAAGGTAGATTTGACATCTAAATGATAAACCTTCCACTTCTTTTGAGCAGCTAAGGCCAAGAGAAGCCTTATAGTATCATGCCTGGCTACCGGAGAAAATGTTTCTCTAAAATCAACTCCACGTTGCTATGCATACCCTTTTATGACAAGCCTAGCCTTGTATTTATTTAAAGAACCATCAACATTTAATTTTGATCTGTACACCCACTTAACTCCTATAACATTTTGTCTTTTGGCCCAGGAGTAAGTGACCAAGTACCATTTTTTTCAATTGCAGTAAGCTCCTCCTGCATTGCATTTCTCCATTCTTCATGCTTGGATGCTTCTGCATAATTAGATGGCTCATCTACTATAAAACTGCATTGCTCATAAATTTCCTCTAAGGACTTTGTTTTCAAGATAGGAGAATCATCATCTGTATCAGCAATTCTCCCATTTAAATTTGAATTAGCAGTTTTGTTTCCATCAACTTCATCCTTCTTCAAAACAGAACCATGTTTTTCAATTTTTGCTGCTCAAAGTTCCAGTAGGCATCTTCATAATTTTAATGTCCCTTTAAATATTCACCTTCTTAGAGTGCACATCATACACCCTATAACTTTTGGACTGAGTTGCATAGCCCACAAAGATGCCAACATTTGCTTTTTGGTCCAGCTTGGTTCTTTTTATATCTGGAACATGATTGTAACACATTGAACCAAACACTTTAAGATGGTTGGCAGAAGGTTTGATGCCATACCATGCTTCTACAGGAGTTTTTCCTTTCACAGCCTTTGCAGGAAGAGAATTCAGTAAATAAATAGCTGTATAAACAGCTTTGGCCCAAAATGATTTAGGCAACCTTTTTTCATGCAACATACACCTAGCTATCTCCATTACAGTCCTATTCTTCCTCTCTAAGACACCATTTTGCTGAGGTGAATAAGGAACTGTCAATTGGTGCCCAATGCCAGCATCTTCACAAAATTTGTTAAATTCAGAGGAGGTGTACTCGTTGCCATTATCAGACCTCAAGGTCTTGATTTGCAGCCACTCTGGTTTTCAACTAAGGCTTTGAACTTCTTGAACACTGAGAAAACCTGATTTTTGCCGCTCAAAAAATACACCTAAGTCATCCTCGTAAAATCATCAATCAACAAAATGAAATACTTGTTGCTGTTGAGTGACTCTATTTTCATAGGTCCACAGATGTCGGTATGAACAAGTTCAAGCTTTTCAGTGGCTCTCCATGCTTGATTAATTGGAAAAGCTTGTCTATGCAGCATTCCAAGTTGACAGGCTTCACACACAACATTACTCAAATTGATGCTAGCCAAATCTCTAACTAACTCATTTGCTTGCAAGAATTTAAGAGATTTCATATTGAAATGACCATATCTCTTATGCCATAACCATGTATCATCACATTTAGCAGCATATGGGCAAGACTGAATTAAATTCCAATTCATAAGAAAGCTGTTATTAATCATTTGGACTCTAATGACTTCAGAACCAGTAGAGTCATATATAGTGTAGGTATCATGTTTAAATTGCAGAGTATAACCTTTTTTCATCATTTGAGCTACTGACAATAAATTTTGACTCAAGGAAGGAATGTAAAGAACATCTGAAATCAATTTGATACCTAAAGGAGTTTGTACAGCAATTGTTCCCTTCCCCTGTGCTCGCACCATTGAACCATTGCTCAACTTGACTTTTGTCTTCACAGACTTGTCAATCTCTATGAAGTAATCTTCATTTTTCACCATGTGACTGGTACAGTCACTGTTCATATACCAACAATCTTTTGAGGAAGTAGAACTCCCCTGAACAGCCAAGAACAAGTGATCTTCACCTTGTTGATCATCTGAGTAGTTTGCTTGCTGTGATTGTTTTGGTCTGTACTGGCCCTTCTTTGCCTTGTAAGACTTCTCTTTGTGACCAAACTTTTTACATGCATGGCACTGCACTTGTTGCTTCCCCTTATACTAGCAATTTTTTGCCTCATGATTAGTTCTTTTACAATACAAGCATGGTGGAAAACTGTCCTTCCTGGTTTGTTGAATTGGTTGAGTTTGTGTTTCAACCAAATTTCCTTTGTTAAGGCTGTCATAGGAGGGTTTAGAATTTGAACTTGTAACTACTTGCTTTCCTTTTTGTCTTGCTTGGAAGGCACCTTTGGTTGCAACAACTTGACCTTTTAGAGTCAATCTTTGTTCATGAGCTTTCAACTTGCTGATGAGCTCATTAACAGTCATTGTATCCAAGTCACAAGTTTCTTCAATGGTTGAAAGCTTGGACTCAAACTTGTCTAGAACACTCACCATAATCTTCTCAACAACCCTTTTGTCTAGAAACTCACCACCATTTGCCCTAATTTGGTTCACCAAGTCTTGTAGCTTGGTTGAATATTGGTGAACGGTTTCATCTTCTGACATTCTCAGCATCTCAACTTATCTCTTGAGTGTGATAACATTGTTACCTCTCACTCTTGTATCACCTTCAAACTCATTTTTTAGAGTATCCCATGCTTCCTTTACTGCTTCTGCACCTATGATACTGGAAAAATTGAATCTACAACATCACTGTGGATGTGTGAGAGTGCCTGCTAAGCCTTTTCTACATACTTTGAATGATTCTTCAACTGAGCAACAGTAGGATTGTTAGGAAGATGAGGAGGATGAAAGCCATTCTCCACTGAATCCCAGACACAATTTCCTTTCAAGAAAACCTTCATCTTGACTGACCACATGTTGTAATTTTCCCCTGTGAACAAAGGTGGATTTAAAAGTGAACCAGAATTGTTTCGGGACATTGCTATGTTTGCTGAGTCATAGACTTCTCTCCCTCACCACAACTCGTGTTTACACTCTCTCACTGCACTCACATATCCCTCAAGAAATGGGCTCTGATACCATTTGTGAGATCAATTAAGAGAAACTGATTCAAACCAACATAAAACTCAAGAAATGAATCTTGAGAAACATGTGAAAGATGAAGGAAATGACACAAACTGAGCAAGAGATGATGCTCAGTTTTTTCTCATTAATTTTCCATACGTTTTTCATCAATTTCTGGCATATTCTTTTATACATAACATTGCCAGCACATTACATTGTAATCCTACAATTAAATAATAATATAATCCCCATAAAGCAAGGCCATGGTGCAGCGTACAATTAATGCTAGCCTACATTTTCAGGTGAACACTTAACATTAAAGATACATAGAGATTACATTGGAAAATCAACCAAAGAAACTTCTCAACAACTTAATTGAACTTGAACTGAACATAAATAGTGCATGTGAACAGTAACTAGTTGCACTGTTTCATTTATTTTCAACACTATAGCCTTTTAAATTGATGAGATTCATGCATTTCAGTTTGGATCATATATTAAAAAGTATAGTTTTGATACTAAAATTATTAAATTATCCTTAATAAATAAACATAAAAATAAGAAAACATTTTATTAAAAGTATTTTAATAATTTTAATAGTTAAATTACATTTTTAATATAAACTCCATCCTTAAAAATACTTTTTTAAAAAATTTAATATACACTACAAATCTGATACTCTTGATTATGTTAGTTGCAATGTTGCGGAAATTCATCAGGTATTAAGTGCAATGCAATGCAGCCTCCAAGGCACTAAGCTTTTTCTTTACACAGGGAACCTATAGTCATACTGAATTTGCCTGGAAACTAGACGTGGAAATTCAGCAGATAAGAATTCATTTTGAACATGATTTGTGTACTTGCTTTTAGTAACGTGTTATCAAAAGGCATAGGATTCCCCTTACCACATTGTCTTAGAAACCAAAAAAGAGAAAAATAGAACATTGTTCACACGGAATGGACCTTTTATTTGTCTGTTCTCTTAAGTAGAATATTAAAATAATAATAATAATAATAATAATTTTAATCATTCTCCATTGAGTTTGATGTAACATAGGATGAAGTGAATAGAAGTCTAACTAAAAGGTGGGAGGGAAGACTTGATGACTCCAGTGTTATAGCTTGTTTTTAAATTCCGAAGGCAAATAGGAAAGGTAATATAATACAAAATAAAATTAAACATGTTCTTCTCATCCTTTACTCTTCCTACTTCGTGGCAGCAGTCATATGGATTACGCTTCTTACAGAAGCCACAATCATGTTAGCAACAACAGCGTCGCAAAAATCACAAGCCAAGGCATTGTTGGAGAGTGAGAGTGGTGGTATGGCTATGTTGACAACTCTGCATATCATTGTAGTTGACCTGGCATAACAGACAATGATGATGGAAGTGTGCCACCTAGATTTGCCCTACAGATTATTTAAAAGTTGGAGAAAGATTAACAAAGTTGAATTTTTCAGCCTTCCCCGATCTTATTTACCTTAATCTTGCTAATCAAGGGCTTAATGGAAGCATCCCTCCTACTTTGGGTGATCTAGCCAAACTTACTAGCCAAACTTAAAACCCTGTCACTTTAGAGCAACCAAGTTAGTGGATCTATTCCACCAGAAATTGGGAAGATACATAATTTGGTTACTTTGAATCTTTCCAACAACTTTTTTTCAGGTGAAGAGATACCTTCTAAGCTTGGGAACTTAACACATCTTTGTGCCTTGGGTCTCAACCACGATCAGCTTACAAGTACAATGATCTTTTAGCACACTTCTTTCATTTGAATTCAATTTGTTATATACATTTAGGGGAGCTTGGATAATCTGTTTGCTTTTATTTCCACTCGTTAATTTCAACTCCTTTAACCAATGTGGAATATCTAAATATTTTGTTCATAGAATCTGCTTCAAAGTACGAACAAAATAATTAGTCAAATCTTTATGAAATATGTGGTAACAAGGATATGTTTTATAGGTGTTTGATCCCTCTTGCTCTAGTTCATCTAACCAATCTAGCCTACTTGTATCTTGATTCAAATCTTTTAGAAGGTCATATACCCATTGATATTGGGAATTTGAGAATTTGGTTTGACTTTCATAACAGATTTAGTGGACCCATATCACTGTTCACTTTCGGAATTGCTTGAAATTAATGGAGCTATCATTAAGCAACAACTACTTAAATGGAACCATCCCCTTTCAAAGAGGCTATCTCTATAGCCTCACTAATTAAAATCAGCCACAATTCCATCCCATCAATGGAGAGATACCTTTTCAACTTGGGGATTTACCAAATTTGGTAGTATTGGATCTCAAATACAATTATTTCTCTGGCGTTATTCCAAATAACTTGCTTCATCTAATTTCCTTGGGGGACTTGTATCTTGATTCAAATCTTTTAGAAGGACATATACCTAGTCATTTTGAATATACATGTTCTTTGGAATATTTATACCTCTCCCAAAACAAATTGAGTGGACCAATTCCAATGTGGCTTGGAAATTACAGGTATTTAGTGGAGTTGTCATTGAGCAACAACTCCTTAAGTGGGAGCATCCCCATTCAAATAGGCAATCTCTCTAGGCTCTCACGAATTAATATCAGCCACAATTCCATCAGTGGAAAGATGCCTCCTCAACTTGGGAATTTATTTTTCTTGGAGGCCTTAGATCTTAGTTACAATAACCTCTCAAGCCAAATCCCAATTAAATTGCTTCATTTGCCAAACAGGTCTTTCATAGTAAATAAGGAATTAGATGATCACCATCTTAGGAACAGAGGGTTGAGGCGTGTTAAAATTATTCTTCCCACCACCATTTCTGTTGTCTTGATATCTTTGGCTTTGTTGTTGCTTTCTAGAAGAATACATAGAGGTAAAACTGGGGAATCATATCCAAGTCTAATGAAAAACAGGGATATGTTCTCCATATGGAACTTTAATGGAAGGATTGCATATGAAGACATCACTGAAGCAACTGAGGATTTTGACATCAAATATTGCATCAGCACTGATGGCTATGGTGTTATGGAAACAACTCCTGTCAACACAGCTCGTGAATCTGGCTTGTGAATCTGCACTAATTACAGCAAATATAATCAGCATTATATGCAGGATATCAATCACACTTATTTGTATATATTTTCTATTATTGTATATCTTTAATTTCCATAAATAACT